CCAAGATGTTCCTTTTCTACCCATACTTGTATAATGACCCTCCCCACCGGCACACGTACGCCGAAAAAACGTTCGGTGAACGTTCGAACTTAAGCCGTTAGAAAATAGTTTAGACCTGCCACCATACGAACGTTCGTTTGGCGTTCGTAGGGAACGTTCCGCATCTAACGTTCGAATGAACGTTCACAGAATATTTGATTAGAATTATAATCGAGTTAAAATAAAAAGCAATGTTTAAAGGTTTTAAGATTTTATTATTTGTGTTAAAAAAGAAAAGCTGCCAAAACGATTTATTTTATGAATCGTTACATCTTCCTGAAACATCTTTCTTTTAATCACTCTTTTATCCCATTTTCTGCCTTTCCTATATCTAATAGTCCGTCTCTTCTTAATTTTTTAACTGCCACTGAAATAATACAAAATTACGGAAGTATCAAAATGCCTGGAAACAAATGTCAGGAAAGAAATGGATGTAAAAGAAAGACAATTTTAAATTTTACTTACTGATTACTGTTTCTTTTAAATGCCAGCTCCCAAATGGCTGCTTTCCCTTTCCGCCTTGCCAGTTAAAGAACGTTCCCGTGTGATTTGTCATAAGAAAAGCCATAACTTTCTTTGAGCGATCCTTCTCACATTTCCCAGAGCTTGCAAACATTAATTTTTTTATCTAAAAATTTTTTTAAAGAAAATGTGAGATACTTCAAGTAACAAAACAATAATTGAGTTAGAGGTACTATAATATCTTTCAATTTACAATATAATCTTTTATGGAAGAGTTTCTATTTGTAAGATCTTCAGCAATTTTAATATCCTCGAATGTTGCGAAGGGTAGATTTGGGAGACCCTTTGGTTGACGGAGCACTTCTGTCCTATTTAATAAAAGCTGGCTACTTCTTCAACTGTTGTTTGGAGCTTCGTGTTCTTCTTTTCAATTACACAGAGTTTTTCGTACTGCAGTTTCATAACCTCTGTAAAGTGACCAAATGAATTTAAAATATTTTACATAAGAATTACTTACTTTGAAATAAGAGAATACTATTTACGAATAGGTGAAAGTTTATCAATTTGCTTGGCACACATTGTGCTTGTAGTAGCCGTTTCAATACTTTTGCTGCTAGTGGAGTCTGAGAGTTCATGAGAATGATCTAAATCCTTAGTGTCATCTTCGCTAAAAGAATCAGAGGTAATGTCGTGTTCTCGTGGGAAACTTGTTGCTCGAGGGTCTGTTTTCTCAAAATTAGTGCAAATGTTATTCCCTGGAAACAAGACATAGGATCAAAAAACATGTATCCAAAGTTATCATGACATTTCGTGATTTTTACATTTAAACTGCTAAAAACTGGAAAAATGTAATCATTATAACTTACCACCTTTTGCAGTAATTAGAAAGTCATTTGAATTATAATTTGAGGGGCTTCTAACACTTTCCAATGGATTTAACACAAGCACATTATAGTTTTCCACTTTTTCATTAATATCAGCAATCTCGAGAACAGATCGTTGAGATTTATCTGTTGTTGCTGTAATATGAATAATGACTAGATAATGAATAAAAAATGATTGATGAAAGAAAAAGTGACATTAGACACTTAATTTTGTCAATACCTTTTTCCATTCTGTCTTTATTTTCTTTTCTGTTCTTATACTTACTAACATCGAAATGATTTTTTACAGACTTTTGAAACTTGCTTACAGTTCCTGCAAAGAATTAAATTCATTTTCGTTGTGTAATTAATATTAGTGAAAATAAAATTATTGCAAAAAATTATCATAGGTCATTACCATCACCTTTGTCATTTCTGTCCTTATCTTGGCTAAATTGATTGTTTTTATTAGTGCTGGACTTGGAAACACTGAGAGATGATTTGCTGCCATTTAATTCTTTCTTGCTACTGTTGCAGCTTGACTGAGAAATATTATATTAAGAAATTTCTTGTTGCCCTGTTTGTATTCCTTCTTGCTGCAGCCCGGCTGATTAACATTAAGTGATGATTTACTAGGTAATGCTAGATAAAGGAAAGAAGAAAAGAAAATATTTAAATCTTCAAACAATATTTATATCTGACTTTTATCTTGATTGTGAAAGACAATCAAGATCAAAGAAATATTCTTGACGTACCAGTCATTGTTTTTGAAATCCTTGATACATCATTAGAAGATGTTAAGACTATAGAGCTCTTATGGGACTTATAATTAGTAATGTCATTTTTAATAGAGCCACTATTCAAGTTACCGTTCTCTTTGGTCTGGTCACTGATGCTTTGTGATACTGATGAAACTAAAAGCAAATAACAGTCTTTATTACTTGCATGACTGTGGCAGGCAGGGTATTGAATTTTCACTAATTTTCCTGAAATTCTTCACCAGGACAAAAATAAAGTAATAATAATGATATTCCTTTTAGAGTGCAGTCTCCAAGTAAAATACAAAATAGAAATGGAAAAATCTTTTATTGTTTCGAAAAACAAATTATTGAAGGAAGACATTTTATAATAATAAGATTGAAAGACCGCTAATGTTAAACATAATAATTTTAAATTAAGAAGCGCCATAACGATCAGAACGTTAAGATGTTGAACTATTGTAAATTCATTTAAATGAATTAATTTCAGCAATGATAATTGCGTGCCGATATGGTTGTCGGACTTTCAACGCAATCAAATCTGAAAATATTAATAATCCCCCCAAATTCCCCAACTTAAAAACTGTAATAAAACTTATTGCGAAAAATAATGCCTCGGCCGGGAGTCGAACCCGAATCTTTTGCATTCCGTGCGAGCGTCCTAAGCCTTTAGGCTACCGAGACATTTTATAATTTGAGACCTATAAAAATTTCCCTTACGATAAAAAGCGCAAGTTGTATGTAAAATAGATAAAGATATTTACCAGTTTCTTCAGGCAAAAGCGAGAAAGTAAATGTTGGCAAAACCAAACTGTTGCCCTTATGTGAAGCAGAATCAGATTTTCCTACTTTTGTCGGATTTTCATCGGTTTCATCTTCCGACGATGACAAATCTGTAAAATGTTTTCTCTTGCGTAAACCTCGATTTGCCTTATCTCCGTTTGCATCAGATTCTAAATCAGTTTTATCAACAGCTCGTTCTAACTTCCTTCTTGCTTCTTCATATGTCACTAAAAAAGAATAAAGATGATATTCATTTATCCGTTTTTGTCGTATGACAAAGGCAGGATAAGAAAGTTCTCTCTATCCTATAGCCACTACTAGCTTCAAAAAATTTATCGTATGATAAAAACGGAGAAATAAAATAGCCCATAAAAGATGTTAGCACAATGTTAAAAAAATAATAAAAGGAATAGCCAAAGAATGAGACTTACATAGATAAATGAGAAAAAAAACATTATCTCACCATTATTATACCTAAACCAAAGAAAAAGAAATAAGAGAAATTATCTTACCAAACCAAGCACGAATAGTGGCTGGATAGGTGTTGAATTTTGCAGTGGGCTCCATGCATGTCTTCGTCATGGTAGTTTGTTTTTTAGGGGCTAAGTAAGTAAGATAAAGACAATTTTCGCTATCTTCACTAATCCAATTATGCGCTATTACGCACACATCCAAATGCTTTTCATCACCAACAGTAACTTCAAGATCCGCAATGGCATATTTTTTTTCTAAAAAATTTGAATTTGGAAGAGAAATGATGAAAAGAGGTGCACACTTCCCAACATTTGCATGCCAATTTTATAATTAAAAAACAGACAAACTTTATAATCTGACATTATTAATAAAAATATTTAGTGTGTGCATCATAATTAAAAGTATTTAATTAAATATAAAACAGCATTATCAAAAAGAGCAGAAAATATTCAAAAGAGCAGAAAAAGGCTATATAAAACAAAAACAACAAAAATGTTAGTCGATGCAATTGCATCGTAATTACTGGCAACTCGATATTATTTTCATCGTAGAAAAATGTAATATGAGGTATACCATTATCTGCGTATCAATAATAAGAATTTCAAGCATTTCAATCAATTTCAAAATATAAGGCTGAAATAGAAGTTAGAATCATGCAATCACAGAAAACAAAACAAATGTAATAAAAAACAAAAAAATGTAATTTTAGTAATGCAGTCCGGGTCTACAAAACCATAATTTTGTCTGTAAAGATAGATAGAGAGATAAATAGATAACATGATGTATAACTTTATTTAAAATGAATGCAATAATGGTATAGCAATGTTATCATTCTTGTAAGGGAGTACAACATACTTGGTTGTTACAGCATTAATTGGGATAATAACATTTGTTTGAGTCCATTTCATACAACCGAGATTATAAATTCCAAAGTAACTAGACTTGCATGGATAGTCAAAAAAATGTGTCTTTGTATCACAAATGTTAGCAATAATCACAACGTCACCATTTTCCAATTTTTGGATAGAGCAAACAGAGGCAACATTTCCTTTGTACTGGAAATAACTATCTCGCCTGTGAACTGAACTTAAAGTGAAGAGAGATGATGTTAGTATCTTATAATTGTTAGTGCCATGTACAGGATTCTTAGGTCTTAGATGAGATTGAAAATTAATTGTCCTCTCACAGAAATCATCTAAAAAATTTCTTTCAGCTAGCCTGCGGAACAGTTGTATTGGGTTAGTTGGAGATCTTAGCATCTGTTTGAATATTCCCAAAAAACTTTCAAATGGGAATGCACTTATGCTTGATATTTCTCCATATCTTCTTACATCCTCATAGAGATGCAACAATCCATGAATATTGTAAACACAAAATTTTTCTCCAAATATGTCTTTATTAGAAGATAAGATGACAAATTGAACTATGAGATCTTTTGCAAATGAAAAATAATTTTCATCGTCGATAAGTTTCTGTACAGAGAATATTATAATTGCTATTTGAAGCATTATGAATAATTTATAGAGAATTTCAGCCACAACGTCTTTCAATACTACACACCCCCCATAGAGTAGGAAAAACCTCAACTGAGTTCCCTTCCATTTCCCTAACTGTTCTAGTCCAACTGGTTTGCGAGCAAATTCCATTGGAATGTACTTTCGTAATTCTACCAGCCTCCGAGAAATCTCAAGAATGCTTTCACCTCTCAATCGCATTCCTGATTTCGTTCCTCTTAAAACAAACATTAAGTACCTTTTCACTACACCTTCAAGAACTAAATGAAATGGATCAAGAGCAAACTGAGAAACCATTTTTAAATTTAATCTTAGGAGAGGTGAAACTCCAACATGATGCTCTGGATCAGATTGATGGATAAAGTCCTCGTCTGATCTAAACTCAATAATTCTGGTAGCATAGCACATTCTGTTAAAATTATAATCCCCTGATTGCTTACACCTTTCACAAGCATTATAAGATGCATGCCCCACAATACGTTTAATATATTGCCTAGCAGGTGCGTCACATATAAAACACCTGATATAAACCTCATACTTACTTTCACCAACAGTTAAGGTATCATTGAATAACTGCAAAGTCTCTTCTATAAATGAATGCAGATAGTCCTCAAGAGGGTCAGGTTTGCCAGTACCAACAAAAAACCCTACTACAAATGGTCTGCTATCCTTTAAGTCCAACGAACGACATAATATTGGCCAAACATCTGTAATCGTACTTTTTGTCATATTTGTCCCATCAATATTTACATCTATTCCTATACGCATATTGCCATCAATTTTTAGACCACTTTCCACACGTTTCTGTAATCCACTTATCAAACCAACATGGGCATATGAACCATTTCTTAGATTTTGAACTGCTGCCTTTCTAGGAGTCTGATTAAGTGTTCTTGGATCTAAAGGCAATTCAGGATGTAAGGGCTTGAGAATTTGTAATAATGTTCTACATGCATCTCGCGTTATATTGTACTGCACATTCCATAAGCACAGTTTCTGGGAGAGACCATCGACTTCAGCCTCTGCATCACTCGCTTCACTTATGGAACTATCAGAGCTATTACTTCTATTAAACAAGTCATGTCTGACACAAATCACGCCATCTTCAATAACATCACCTATTTCCATATAATCATTGTTGTTAGACTTGTTTAGACCATCACTTGACAAACAAAGCTCGTCACAATTATTTGAATTATTTTCCTGTACATTAGAAATATTTAAAAGATTATTCTGTTGGTTATCTTTACTATTGGAATTTTCTGGAACCAAGTCATCTAGAAAATGAAAAGAAGTTGATAAATCTACTTCTTCGTCTAAAAACTGCAAATGATTTTCAGTGATTCCAGCAAACACTGTTGAAGCTTCAGATTTGGCCTGCCATCTAATCTGCTTTAAGCCTACAAATTTCCTCTGTACATTCATATTAAAACGACAAAATTTAATTTTATCACATTCGAATTACTTTATAAGAGATGAGCTCAATCTCATATAAAAAGTACACAAACAAAGCAAGCTGGAATAAGAATAATTTAACTTAAAAATAAGATAAAATTATATATAATATTCACAATATCAAATAATATATATTTTATAATGTTCACAGTATAATGAGATCACTTGAAATATGAAACAATTATAAGATAAAACAATAAGAGACAAAATAAGATTGTAATAATTGAGGAAAGTAGAAAAAGGTTTAAACCAAGTAATTGGTTCTATACTGATTAAACAAAACAAATAAATATAGTAAAACGTGAACAGTGATTGTGAACAGCAGTACATACTCTGCACTAGCAAAAGAGTAAAAGAATGAAATCAAATATCTAAGTCAAAAGAAAATTAGTTTGCTCTTAAAATATATGACGAGAACATATTAACATTATTATAGATACCAAAAAGTGATATTATCTGATTCCAGTAGGGAAATACGATTTTCTTTAGAAAGAAATAATATTCGTACCTTCCATCATAACAATCTAACTTATTCAAATTTTCATCTACGCAGGTCATGCAAGCTGAAACAAAAACAACAAAAAATTGCAAATTCTTGCATAATAAAATTTGGGGGAACAATGTATTATCTCATTGAATTATTACAAGTAGATCTCATTTTACACAGAAAATTTACATTATTAATAATTGATTACTTCTATGCATGAACAGATCAAAATTTTAGATCCATATATATGAAAGATTATACCATTATTCTTGCAAATAAAAAGTCAGAAAATAAGACTAAAGATTTTGAGGAAAGTTATAAAAATTTAAAGAAATGTTGTTATGCACTATCAAAATATTATACGTATATATTTAGGAAAAATATTAACATAAAAAAATATTATATGATTATTTTAGATACCGAAGAAAAGTCCAAACAGAAAAAATTTTCAGTAACATTGAAAAAAATGTAGCTCTTACTAAAAATGTGTATTGTAGGTTATGAATCAGTTATTGCTATTTATTATAGATTATAAGAATCTTTCACTGATTTATCTTGCAACATGCGTGCAAACTTAACATAACAATTAAAAACAATCAGAAAAAGAGTATCTACTATAAAAACACTCTGAAGTTCAAAAACCTATATGCGTGCGCTGAGAAGTAAATAAATTTCATCCGCCTCAATATATGTGCATGCAAGTTTGATGCACACCGATCTCATTACACATTTAGTGAAATTCCAGCAATTCAAAGCCTTGAACTTTCTTTTCATTACTCAAAATGTACTACTTACCTTGACTTCTTCTTCTTCTTCTTTTATAATTATAATTTATAATGGCTCACGTCTCGAAATAGTAATTAATAGAAGGTCGATACGGTTATATACCATAGATCACATCCAAAATGAGTATAACGTATTTAATGGATTTCGAAAACAAAAGTGAAGCAATGGTTGCATTCATGACTTCTGCACACTGGACGCGGAAATGCTTGCTACGCGGCAAAATGAGACGCGGTAACCAATGAACATGTTAGGAGCTGTAAGCTTATTGGCTACCGCATCACATTTTGCCGCGCGGCAAGCGGCCACTCAGCCCACTCGAGTTCAACAATAATAAAAGCTTTAACGATAATAAAACACGTGCCAAACTGTTCTCACTTGAGAGTACTATATTTATATATAAACAATATGTATATATTTATTATATATATCAATGTTAAAGAAGAACCGAAATGATATATTGCGAACATTATACATGTGGAATGCATTAATTTATTGTACTATAAATTCTTTATTTAATTATATATATATAAATGGCCACAAATTTAAAACTATTCGAGTTATTCGAACGATCACGCAACGTTTTGACAACGTGCGAGACAATCCAGCATCTTTTTCGTTCAGTTAGTTCGAGAGGCGAACGATTACGAGCACTCCAAACGAAAATTGGTTCCCCGAACGTTCGCCAAACGTTTGTGTGTCGGTGGGGTGGGTATATATTACACATTAATATATTATACAGAGTAAGGATGATATTTCATTTGTGCGTTTTTGTCGTACGACAAATTTTTTAAGCCTCTTAATTGGCTATAAAATAGAGAGATCCGAGAATCTCTCTATCCTGCAGCCACTCTTACGACAAGAAATAAATTTGATGCTTATTATGAACTTATGACAAATTTGTGATATATGAACTTATAAAAAACTTGAAATAATTAATATTTAGAAATAATCCACATAAAAATAGCTTTACTTTATTCCTCAAAATAATAATTCTTTCTTAAATATAATATGTATTTTTCTGTATGTATAAAAAACAAAATAAAAATATATAAAAATGTAAAAATACATATACAAGTATAATTTTATGCATTTTATCTTCATGATAGAAAAAAAATGTATATGTTAAAACTAATGATACACGAATACCCGGAATACTCATTATCCGATTCAAATTGTTAGTTTTAATATGCATACATACATATATAAAAATATAAATATTGAACGTAACTAAAAAATATAACTTACATTTATATGCTTCTTAAAATTTGCTGATGAAGTTTTATTAGCGTGTTTGATTTTTCCGCCCACGCAGAATTTGCATTTAAATGCTAATTTGTTTTCCTTACCAGAGGTAGGTTGAAAAAGAAATACTTCAGAGAATGCTGGCCATGGCATTTTTTCGATTTGCGACGTATTCGCTTTTTCAGTTGTTGTTGTTGTTGTTGTTATTGTTTCTTTATTCGAGGACATAGTGTCCTTTTCACTTATTATTTCGATCGAAATAGAATTCTCACTCGAAGTGGAATTCATGCTTTTATTTACTATTTCACGATTCTTAAAATTTGTAAAGTTACTTTTATTCTTGGCTCTTGCATAGATTGAATCACTGTGATTTCTGTAGAGGACGATATGGCCAGATCACGTCAGAATATGATGCAAGAATGACGCAATGGCTGCATTCAGCGGACTCAACAGTTGAGTGAGCGTTCGCTGCTATTGACGTATTCTTCTAGATCTAAAATTATGATTGGATGATCTAAAAGAATACACCAATAACAGCGAGCGCTCACTCAACTGTTGAGTCCGCTGAATGAGCCCAATGCGAAAATGAGCCCGAACGGACACCGGACACCTGCGTCTACGACGTCGTCACGTCGAAATAACGCACGTCAGGACGAACGCATGAGACAAGCCAATTCGCGGACACGCTTCAGGAGGAAACAATTGTATAGTCAAAATCGGCAACACTTTCAAAAATATTCGATTATTAACACCCGATCCGAAACGCGTCCGCCACGATCGAATGGTTCTTCAGAACTGCCGTTGCGCACTGTGTGAAGAGCGAACATGTTGGAACATGTTTAATCCGCGGCCAAAGAATAGTGAGATCAAGAATGGAAGCTCGCGACAGTCCCGATCATGATCCGCGCCATCTAATGCATTTAACTATCATGATGTTGGCCGTATTGTCTCCGCTCATTAATTACTAGATTCAATTCTTCACTATTCTTTGTCCACGACCTATACAATAGGCGTCCTTATTTATCTTGTAGGTTAAACGAAAGACATCTATTGTATAGGTCGCGGACTAAGTGCACGGTGTAAACGTAGACATTGAATAGGTATAAAAATAATAGGGAACTAAAAGAAACGACTAAATTCGTTACCGTTATATACTTTAAAAATGTAACGACGTTACCGTTACCGTTACAAACAGAAAAAAGTAAGGATCGTTACTGAAAAAAGTAACGAAAACGGTAACGGCGTTACAAGTAACGCGTTACTTCCCAACCCTGCAAAGAACCGAACAGATAAAACAACATTTCTGGAACAGATGGTCTAAGGATTATTTAAATCAACTTCAGTGTTACGTCCCTAAAATTTAAACACTTAGATATAAGAAAACGCATACGTATCCTAGAAACTTAGCACCTAATTATTAGTAACTATTTCACCCCATGTATTTCTCCAGGTATTATATACACAACTAAATATTATAATCATACACTTATTTCTCTACGATAATATAATCACCTTACCGCCCTTATAACAAATTTTATATATATATTGTGACGTGACGTTTTTTCATCGTCCGTCACAAGGGTCATTCGACCTGGCCAAAGTAGCGCGGCAAATTTGTCCTGTGTCCTCCCGACGCGGAGGGCGGGCGTGCCGACGCTTATTGCGATTTTCGGGCGAAAACGCGGAGATTGTTGTCGCGTTTCGCGTAGCATTTCTTTTTGTAAAGTTGTCTAAGAATTTTTAGTATCGGCGG